GTCAGCTATTTGGTGGGTGCAAAGGGCTTCGACCTGAAGAAAGCTACCCCATTGACATGGTATTTGACAGGAGAATGATCCTTTCAACGGAATTTGCGTCCGAGTCAATTCAGTTGCGCCCCATTGCTTCTGGCGGCATTCGGACTCCTACCGACTTGGCGTGCCTTTGCTAGGGCCTCCCCGTCACCTTAGCACGTGATAGGCAGCAGGTCAAGTGCCGCAGCCGGTGTCTGGATTTCTTGGCGGCTCCCAGCCATCCCCTTACCTTTTTGGCCTTTTAGTGTTTTGTGGTAGCTTCCATTTAACCCACTAAAAGTTAAACTTTTAGCGGGGCGGCAGCCCAGTTTTAAGGCCAAGAAAGGAAAGAAGGGCGACACCGTGGTTAGCTTCGTGGCCATTGCCAGATGCTCAGATGTCGGCTCGTTGACGTCCGACTCGCGGGCGACGTGCAAGACGTTGGCCAGATCAAAGGCGTGATCCAAGCACAATCAAACCAAGGACCCAAGAGAACCTGAACACCCTCTTATGAGGAAAGGTACCACAACCACCTTATCGAGTTGACTAATGCGTCGCTTACTCGTCCACATCCCGCTCGTTAGACTCTGAAGAGGGCCAACGCTTTCTGAATCTGGTGGACTCAACAAATGCCATTTGTGTGGTGCGTTTGCACCAAGGGTCATTTGGTCTGCAACTGAGGGGAAGGTTTCCTGCAACCAGAGCTCAAACTCCGTTCCGCATGCAACTTGCCAGGGAACCCGTCCGGTCATTGATCCCGCAATTGCCTTGACCCCAATTGTGCATTCGATGGAATTGGCCTTTCCTCACTTTTGAACATTTCCCACCCCAAGCGACCACTCTTTTTGATTCAGTCATGGCAGACTAGAGTAAAGGAACTCCTTTTGTTCAACGTGTTTGCACCAAGTGGCCACCTCCTCGCTTTGCAATAGGTTCCCTATTTTGGGCGTTTACTACTGGGCTTTTTTTTCCAGGGGACTTAAGCAAATGGAGGTCAGCGTGGGTTTGTGTCCAGCCCAGAATCAGCGTGGACCCTCCATTTTGAACAGAGAATCAGCCTGGGTCAATAATTGGCCAATCCGAGCATGGTTGCTGTTGGGAAACGCTTTACATTGTTGCTTGTGGTTTAGTGGTGGAAATCCAACCACTTAACTGCTAAAACTTGAAATTTTTTGCTCCCCAAACCCAACGTCAACCAACCCGAGCCATTTTTGAAGCCCAGCGGAGCCCTGTTCCCTTCCTTCCAGGACTTGCTGAATGACCCGCAGACCCTCGCAGAGAAGCTGTTGCAGCGGATGACCAAGGCGGCTCTGCATGGATTCGCCGGAAAAAAGACGCGCCGAGGGCCTACCAAGTGATGGCCCAACACCATTTCCAACAGCACCAACTAGACAACCACAGTGAGTCACCTAAACCAGCTCCAACTAATGTACCAAGTATGTCACCAACTTATTGTATGGGTTATAAAAATGGATACAATTGAAATGATCAGAGTAATACTGTATTAAACACAAAATCACACGCAAGCTGCCTGGGGATTCTGGATCATGTTTTTTGTTCTTGAAACACCTGGGGGGTTCCATGGTATTAGGGTACTCCGTCTACGCACAAACTAGCCTTTCTGGCTTTTCAGGGAATGTTGTTTAAAAGTCTTGTGTATTTATACGCGTACATAGTACGTTATATATATATATGGTACCGTGTTCCGTGTTGCTACCCCCCCCCCCCCCAGATGGTATGGGTCCCCTCCCGGCGACACCCCGGCACCCCCACCCCAGGACAAGCCACCCGCAAGCACCTGTAAACCAACCCTAAATACACCCTAAGCTAAACTAAACTCTAAACCGTAAACCTCTAAACCAAAACCGAACCTGAACCAACCCTAATGCAACACAAACCAACCCTAAACTAACCCTAAATACGCCCTAAACCAAACCCTAAACCATAAACCCTAAACCTAAACCAACCCTAAATCAACATAAGCAAACCCTAAACCAACCTTAAACTAACCCTAAATACACCCTAAACCAAACCCTAAACAATAAACCCTAAACCTAAACCAATCCTAAATCAACATAAACCAACTCCTACTCTAACCCTAAATACACCCTAAACAAAACCCTAGACAATAAACCCTAAACCTAAACCAACCCTAAATCAATCCTAAATCAACATAAACAAACCCTAAACTAACCCTAAATACACCCTAAACCAAACCCTAAACCATAAACCCTAAACCTAAACCAACCCTAAACCAACCTTAAACTATCCCTAAATACACCCTAAACCAAACCCTAAACAATACACCCTAAACCTAAACCAACCCTTAACCAATGCTAAATCAACACAAACCAACCCTAAACTAACCCTAAATACGCCCTAAACCAAACCCTAAACCGTAAACCTCTAAACCAAAACAAAACCTAAACCAACCCTAAATCAACATAAAACAACCCTAAACCAACCTCAAACTAACCCTAAATACACCCTAAACCAAACCCTAAACAATAAGCCCTAAACCTAAACCAAATCAACACAAACCAACCCTAAACTAACCCGAAATACACCCTAAATACACCCTAAACCATAAACCCTAAACCTGAACCAACCCTAAACCAACCCTAAATCAACATAAACAAACCCTAAACCAACCTTAAACTAACCGTAAATACACCCTAAACCAAACCCTAAACCATAAACCCTAAACCTAAACCAACCCTAAACCAACCCTAAACCAACCCTAAACCAACCCTATTCAACATAAACAAACCCTAAACCAACCTTAAACTAACCCTAAATACACCCTAAACCAAGCCCTAAACAATAAACCCTAAACCTAAACACACCCTAAACCAATGCTAAATCAACATAAACCAACCCTAAACTAACCCTAAATACACCCTAAACAAAACCCTAAACTATGAACCCTAAACTATGAACCCTAAACCTAAACCAACCCTAGACTAACCCTAAATACACCCTAAACCAAACCCTAAACTGTAAACCCTAAACCTAAACAAACCCTAAACGAATGCTAAATCAACATAAACCAACCCTAAACCACCACAACCCAACCACGGGACCACAACCACAGGGCGAGGGGGTACTTGTTTGACCCATGACCATTAGGGGGGGGGTGGGGGGGGGGGTGTCAACGCTGTACCATATATATATATATATATTACACATGTGCACACAGACACATGCGCACAATTTTTACGCAACACACAGCACACCAGTGTGGTATATTTTTAGACAAGCTTGACCTGTGAATCATTGAACCCGATCAATTTGAGATCCCCGACGTTCTGTCGAGCTCCCCGGATTTCTCACCAGGTTTCTCCACGCAACTGGCACTGGGTTCCCCATGGTATCCCCAACAGCTTCAAACTATATCTATGACAAGTTTGCACCCGTTTTTGTTGCTGGTATACCGAATGTTTGAGTCGGAACTCAACATATCCCTGACAGGGTATGTAACTTCTTCATGGTGTGGCCTGGTGCAAGAACCAAACGCATGCGCAAGCACGGGGTAGCTCATGATAGATTGGCATTCCTATCTTGTACTCTTAAGTATGTGTCTGTTGTTTGTGTAAAACAACAAACACGTACCATTCCTTTTAAGTACTTCTTGAGCCTTTGGCCTCGGGCGGTCTTTGATTCTTCGCTACCCGCGGCAGGGTGGCGAGGCCTTCCTCTTCCGGCTACTGATGCTCCACCTGGTGGCCAGGCCGGGTCTGGGATCCTTTTGGGCGACTTCCGGAGCTCAATGAAACACATTTGACACGGGTGTGGGATCCTTTTGTAAGGTTGGATCCACATGGTCTTCCATTTGACTATTCTTCATGTTCCTGTGTTGGTTTTAGAGGGAGTCGAATTCACTGCTAGAAATTTGGTTGTTTGTTCCAGGGGGGCTTAAGCAAACGGACGTAGTGATTTTGCCTTTTGTGTCCCTCTAAAACCACACACATATAGGCGGCACCCTCACACAAAAAGTCACCCACATCCTTATCGGAAACAGGACCCCCCGGTAGTTTAATTGTATTTCACCACTCCCCCGTTGGTTCGCCGAATTGCCCGAATTCATTTTGCGGGCTTGGGTGAAAACCGGCCCCCCTACGGGCGGTTTGGGGTCGGTTTCCAGCTCTGAAAAGGGGGCGTTTGGGGTGGGGCAACATGATAACATTCACTGGCAGGAACAAGCCACTTGTGTGGTCTGAAGGGTTATTTACAGTATTTCCCGCACATGAGACACTGAGAGACCTCATACCACGCCAGCGACTGCGCGCGCACTTACGCTGCGGAAGCCCGCGTCAATCTGTAGGAGCCAAAAAGGCCGGGATCAGTTGCCATGGGCAACACGCATCAAAACCCTACCGGAGCACGAGGATTCATAGGGTTTCACAGCCACCGCTCTGCCTAGGGTTTTGTTGCGTGCCCACTGCAACTGATCCCAGGCTCTTGTGATGCAGATTCACGCGGACTTCCGCAGCGCCAGTCCGCGGGCAGTCGCTGTGGCATGAGGTCTCTTGGTGTCTCATGTGCTGAACATAGTGCATGGGGACTTGGGTAGTGGTCTGTTGACGGCCATGGAATATTGCCCGTCCTGCAAAAGGCGTGGTATGTCAAACCTTGGTGGCCCCCAGCCATCCCAAAAAGCATGTTAAGTGGTTTTGGGGTTTGGTGGTAGTTTCTATTCACCCACTAAAAGTTGGTCACTTTTAGCCCTCGATTTGCTGGTGATGCTGGGGATGTTGGCTGGACATGCGCGGGACGTTGAAAACGATGCTGGTGACGGGGCTAGTGTAAAATAATATGTACACCTCGTGAGAAAATGCTGTAACATGCATCATTTTTCCAGCCAACGAAAAGCAAGGAACAAATCCAAACAAAAACCAAAAAAACAACTCCCAAGAGTCCATCCGCCCCCGTGTAAAACGCTTGTCCCGTTCACCGAATGTAGGAAACGTTCGGAAAATTCCTGTTTCACGAGTGGTGGCCTGTGGGCCCTTCACTTCATGGCTTTGCGAGAGGCTGATTGGGCGACACCAGCTGCAGGTCTTGAACCTCTATCCGTGCCTTGGCATGCGAAGGTGGTGTACCCCCGAAGTACTCCAGCGTACCCCAGCGGGTGTCCATGGTAAATACGTCCTTTTTTCGTGGGCCGACATCATACCCTGAAAAGAGTGGGTATTGGGTGTGGGGGCCCGGTATGCCGAACAGAAAGTGACAAAAACATCGATATGTGGACACTTTCTGGCTTCGGCAAGCGCCGAAGCGAGTCCTTTATTGAACTGTTGTCATTTGGAAAGAGGCCGAGCTTTGGCAAGTGACACATTGACATGCCAACATGGGCGGTCAAAATAAGCATGCCCCAGATTGGGACTCCCTTCCGACTTAAAGAAGAAACACGATTGCCAGGGTGCTTTGTTGCAAGCATTTTGGTGTCAAGGTGTAGCCTGTTCCATCTCTCACCTGTCAACGTTTGCAGCCTGTGCTAGCCTTCATGCAACACATTCTACTCTACTACCTCCAGTCCACTTTCCTTTGGGGGGTCATACCCCCTTGAGAAGGGGCGAGTGGTCAATACACCATCCCAGGAACGTCGTGTTTTGGGGGTGTGCGGGTACCTCTCAGCAATACAGAACGCTCCCACGGATGTAGAGTTACAGTTCTCGCCATGGTAGTGGGCCGGATATATTTCAAGGCGCGTTCTGCCACCAAGATTGCAAAGCCGCTTACAAAACTCCCAATTGAAAGGAGTATGTGGGCAAGGGCTCCCATTTTTTTGACCCCCCCCCCAACTCTTTTTTTTGGACCCCCTCTTTTTTGACCCCCCAAAAAAGGTGTCCCCTGTGGAGGAAATATCGACTCGAAGTCGTGTTGTTTTCCACTGCGAAAGGCTTCGCGGAACGGGGATCCGTCAAATTTGCCCAGCGAAAGCTTCGTTTCGGCAAAAATACACCTTGAACGTCTCTTAATTTGTACGTGGATTCGCTACGCGTTCACCAAGACCACGGCGAGAACTAGCTTCCACTAAGATGAGCAGCCTGCATACGCGCCGCGTAGAAACGCGTTTGCTTTGTCGACGCTCGCTGAAGCCCGACGTAGGCCCTCGCGAGTTTGTGCACGGGAACATGTTACTTAGTAGTGCCGTGTTAGCATGCTTGTTGTTGCGAACAGCATATATGATTGCTTCCTGTATCCTTCAAGTTGTTCTTGCGTCTGATTCTTAAGTTTGTTTTTTCCTTGGGTGTGTGTGTGTGTATGCATTGCTTCCAGGGGGTGGCAATGAAGGCAATTTTAGAATTGCACACGATCAACAGTTGCTCTTTTGGGCTGAGGCGGGCATGCCAAATCCAGTAGGGTGTTGCATCTAACAGGGCATATGAATGTTCTTGTTCTCAAAGTCGTTTTCCCACCCTGAGATCACACCTGGAAACTGCTTGGAAGGAAGCTGCTGGCTCTCAGCTTGACCCTGCCAAAAGCTTTCAATCCTCGTGGCCGGATGCATGTCCAAAGCACCCAGCCTCACCCCCTAGAGCATAATGGACATGCAACTTGAATGATCTATATTTGATCTGGCCACCTCAATCGTTTCCTCCATGAAACCTTCATTCATGACATAAAATCACCTGGCAACTAGTTCTGGGTTGGTCTTGAACAAGGCTTTGAGGCAGCCAATGTTCCTATCAATGGGGCCATGGTGCCTCAAACAGGAGTGTGAGCCACAGTACATTTGGCAGCAATGCCTCCTCCAGGGGATGGCCCAACGTGAGCTGAGGTTTTTGCAGAAGTACTTGGCGCCAGCCTCAGCTTTTTTGGACGTGTGCACTAGCCTTATCTCTCAGGTGTTTGCATCCAAACATGAAAACGATCCACCCTGAAAAAGGGTTCTCGGGGGTCAAGAAGCGTTTTTAATTTGGCATGACTCGCTGGTGCTCAGTGGGGAATGTGGGGATTCCTTTGAAGGAAACCACAAGGGATGGTTTATAGGGGGCATTCCCTCATTAGAGTACCTGCAAGATGATGAGGGCCAGGTCGTCTTTCGCTGTCGCAGGCATAGTAATTACATCATAGTACAATTTTGCGTCTGGCTTGCTCAGAGCAAGGCTTGACAACGATGGTCAAGGCACCCTTACTTGGCTTCGGCTTTTTGCTGATGGCACATATTCTGTCCGTTGAACATGTTCTTCTATACTTCAAAATACGCCGGAAATCGCTCTCGTGGAGGTGGGCATGATTTGTTTCTTCAACAGGTGGATCCCGCTTGAATGGTTGATTGATCTTGGTTTCTCTGGAACAGCCATCCTATTCAGGTTCATGGAAAGGTACGGATTCTGGTTACAGTCAATCAATTGAGCACAGCACGTGTAACATGATCGTCTAGTTGGGCATGTGGCCCCACAAAAGTCGACTCGTTCAGGCTTCCAGGTTTGACACGATCTGGGAGAAGGCGAGTAAACAAACATGCTGGACATCTTTAGAGGGTAGAGGGGCTGCCAACCTAGTTTTTCAACTACCGGACCATCCAGTTGATTGCATGACTCTGTTGCCCAAAGCGAATAGACCGTTTGACCTTTTGGTTTCTTCTTTTTGGTCTAGTTTTAGTCATGGCAACCCAAAAAAAACATCTTTTATTTCTGGGTCCCTAAGGGGCAAGTGAGATGATGCAACTTTCATGTTCGTCATTCCGAGGCGCTGACTCCACTGGTCTGAGCTGAATCACTTCTGTATCCTGATGCCAGCCGGTTTTGGTTCCATTCCGCGAATTGCGGTTGGCTGGGGATCTCCCCTAGGTCCCCCAGCAATTGGTGCCCTCTCTGATCCCCCTTTTTTTTGGGGTTGGCAGGGTTCGGTTCCCCTACTGAAATAGACAAAACTGAAAAAAATCGAAGTTGGTACCAACTTGTTCTAAGCTCTCAAATCTGGAGGAAGTCCCGCACGCCGGGATCCCTCTTGAGCTTAAAGCGTAAGGTACCCACGCAGAAGGAGGTGACCAAAGTCATGGCCGCGCTCGTGGAGGCTGCCGGGGCATCATGGACGCTTTTCCTTTTTTTTGGCTTGTGGCATTTGGAACGGCCCTCTGGGGTTACTAGGCTTCACTGTTCTTGGCAATTTTGTTCGGCTTTTGGTTCGTGTTGGTACTGTATATTTTTAGTAGGGCTGCAAAACACTTTATACCAAGGGTTGTGAAGTCGGAATGGTCATCCCTTGCCCATATGAGGAAGCCTCAAGAGGCAGCCATGACCGCGGCCCACATAAGAAGTACCTGAGCAATTCGAGCCGAAACAAAATCTCCGATAAATGTGTCCACGTAAGGGGTGAATCCAATTTGTTTTGACCCATCACATTCGCTGCACCGCTGCTTGGAAGTTGAAGATCAGCAAGACCAGCCGCGTCAAAGCCAGACAAGGCAATTCGTTTGCCTGTTGCAACCCCTGGTTTGAAGTCGCAATGGAACTGCTTTCCGTCGTATGCCACGCAGCCAGAAGGAGAAAATCCGCGCGCAGTTTCGCAGAACGGTCGCAACTTTCGGCTTGCAAGTCGCGCACACGTAAATGGCGCCGAAGCTTTTCCAAGACTTTTGCGTATGTTGGGCCTTGTGCCCTTGTTCCCATAGGTGTCCTTTTCAGCGGTTAGCTTGGTGACAAATAGATGGATTCCACTGGTTTAGATGGGTTTTATTCCATTTACCAGGGCCATCCATTTTTTCACCAGGACACCAATGCTTGTTTTTTCCCCCAATAGTGGCCGATTCCCCAATCCCAAATAGGGGCTACGAGGGTCTACTAGGGTCTAGGGGCTAATCCATTTCCCTTCAGGACCATTTCCCCTCTTCGGGGGGCCCTGACAACCATAGGAAAACCTCAACTGCGACAAGGTGAAACTTTTTGTAAAAACAAAGGCGGCCATGTAAACGAAGCCTCCAGAGATATTCCGGTTTTGCACCAAAATGCCCCCCAGCCTTTGCTTGGCCAGGAACGGAAGCCGTGAACATTGCGATACGCTACCCCTAATGCGAAAGCGGTTCGAGTCAGCGGGGAGTTTGTTGGCTTAGCATTGGGGGGCCTGGGATTTGGGAAAGTCACGCATGAATCGGTGCATGTCTCAGAATCAGGGAAGATAGTCGTTCTCGTGCTTCCTAACATCAGGAATATCTTTGCTGATGTCATGCTTTACAACTCGCACTGGCTTCAATCAGGCCAATCGTTCCAGCAGCGTCCCATGAGCGACCACACAGCTTGAGGGGTGCTAAATCGCCCAAAATCTGAGTTTCCCCAAAAAGTATCGAAACACAGAGGGGTAGTCTGCTAAGTTTCCCAGGCATGTTTGACATCCAGTAAGGCCCGGCTAATTCTCTCGGGCGATTGCCAGGCATCACATCCTTGTGTTCCACCGGCGCCGCTGGCATTGTTTTTCGGAATGAGGAGGAGAGTTAGCTTATCAGGCATAGCTGTCCTTTTTTAGGTATAGAAATAATTAGATGGGTTGCACTGGTTTAGGCACTGGTTTTATTCATTCCATGCAGGGCCATCTAGAGATTGCCCAAAAAGGACACCCACGTTATCAAGTGCTCTGTGTGCCCCTTACCCTCCTAGAAAAGAGTTCAAAGAGTTCATAGTGAAAAAGAACAGATCATAAGCTTGGATGAAGGTTTTTCTGGGATCGCATCGAGGTTCCTGCAGTAACCCAGGTGAACGCTGATAGCTTGCCTTTGCTGCATTTTGCCAAGGGATGTTAGGAGTTTAACTTTTCGCCAACGAATGAGTTTTCCGTATTAAACCACTAAAAGTTAGTCACTTTTAGCAGGGGAGCAGAAAGCAACCAAGTTGCGACGGGATGAACGCCTTGTGCTTGAAGCCAAGGAAAGCTTTTGAAAAATATTGGTTCTGGGGCGGGAACTGATGTTTTCTTTCCGCTCGACTTTGGAAGCCAAAGGGAAAAGACGTAGCTTCAGGGGGTCCCGACACCCTGTTGGCTGACCGGAATAGACTGCCCGGAACAGGGCAAACGGCAAGCCTGGAACTTCCAGCATCTATCTGCCATGCAGAAGCGATCGTGTTCCATTCGGATTCGGAAAAAATCGGGACTCCACGTGGCAACCTTGCTCGCCTACGATGCAACAAGAGCTTCCCTATTTTGAAACAGACCCAATCAGTTTTTAGTGGAATTTGACATGACTGGCAAATCTGCACACCTTAGGCAAATGAAAGAGAAAGGGTCTCAGGAGCCCTCGCTTACAAGCCTCTTTTGGTTTCTGGACTTGGGTATGGGCTGGAACGCAAGAGAGCCCCAGGTGCCCCGGGTACCTGAAAGCGAGCTCTTTGGCAATGGTGTTTTATTGGACCCATGATTAAGAAACAAAGAGCTGTGTATCTTGGGGTGCCATTGATTTTGTGTGATAGCGAACCAAATCGTTGGGCGTTCAGGGATCCCGTATTATCCCAAGGGTGCCCTCAGCATCACTGCACCCGCTTCCTTTTCGGCCAGGAGGAGGTGAGGCCAGTGGTGCTGCACATAGCCACTCGAACGGCCTTGGTATCATGTCTGTGACTTCCATGTGCTGAAAAGAAGTTTGTTTACTTTCCCCTTTTGGTTCTCAAGGCTATCTGTCATTACAGGACATATGTTGTTTTTTTGACCTAAGCCAATGGAGGAGATCAACTTGGGGACATGCTGCATATTCAACACGGGAATGACTGACGATTCTCTGTTGTTCTTTCAGGCAGCTGCATGTTCCGCGGCATGTTTCACATATTAGCAAGCCATGACCTGAATGGATTTCACAGAGACACACGAAATTCCCGGCATTCTGAGACATGCGCTTCAAAATACCGCAAGGGCCGACGTCACTTCCGGTTGTTTTTCGGTTCGGCCTCGGTTTCTGACGGCTTCGCCACGGCCTCGGCTTCCCTCGAGTTGGTTTGTTTGGAGCCCGCGGGATTGGAGCCCGGTTTCCCATGTACCCAGAAGAACCAGGGGTTCTAAAAATGTCCAACCAATCCAAACCACTTAGTTCGGATTGGTTGGGGGGGGTCCAAACCACTAGTTCGGATTGGTTGGGGGGGGGGGGTGGTTGGGGATTCGAACCCACTGGTAGAGCAATAGTTGGGGGGCTGGTTTCCCATGTACGCTCCAGTCGCAACCGGCGTTTCGATCCCAGGTGAGATACTTTGTGACAGAGGCTCAGGCGCCCGAGGTCATCGAAATTGGCCCGGCCCGCAGGCAGCAGGGGAATGGCCCCAAAAAAAAATTGGGCCAGTCAACTGGCTCCACCACACGCACACACACGCAGAGACACGCAGAGACACAACGGAAACTAGACAGCCCGTTTGGCTGAGAGGTGCTCGGCAGTTCAATCGGGAATCGGGTTCAGGATCCAGATAGAATTCATCCTTGTGCTATTTCGCATGCAGGTAGAATCTTCTTGGGGATTCGCTCCATTTTCCCGGCCTTTGGACCCGTTTGACATGTCACTGCAAGATGTCAGCGGGTGACGGGGTCAAGCTGCGCGCAATGCTTGGGCTGCGTGGATAGGCATGACGCAGCTCCAGGATGCATTCTGGAGATTTCAATTTCCTGACAAAGGAAGCACAATGAAAACAACATGTACACGAAGGTTAGTAAGAGAGAGACTCCCAAGCGTGAAATTAAATGGGGCCATTCTGTTAGTTCAGTATTCGGTTTCGGGTAGAACGTTGCTACCAGGTTTTGATTGTGACTTGCATGAGATGAAAGGCACTTCCGCGAAGCACATCTTTTTGCTTGGCGAAATTGCTCAGCCTTCCAATCTAGCTGAGGCTTGAACACTATCCGAGAAGTTTGCGCCAGGCGCGATGGGGTGGTGCTCGTAGATGAACAATCGGGAAGCGTTGAATGCTTCACTTCAACCAGTGTTTAGCTGAGGCTGGTGTTGGCGATGCTGGTGGTGGTTGTGGCAAGGGCTACTGCCGGCCCTGCTGCTGCTGCTGCTGCTGCTGCTGCTGCTGCTGCTGCTGCTCTGCTTGACTGCACGGCAAGTATGACAAGTGGTGAATAGTTGACCCAGTGGACAGATGCAGACAGCGGACTACACGTTATTTTTTTGGGGGGGAAGCGGGGCAATGTTTTCTTGACAGTTGCTTCGGTGGGATCTCCAACATGTTTGATTCGCCTGGCAATCAACACAATATTTGTTTGGTGCAGTCCCAACAATTGCTTCTTATGAGCATTATGAGGCACATCTCGGAGCTGTTTTCAGGGGCAGCAGTCTTAGCATGTAAGCCGGAGCGTGTGTTTGCCTTCTTTTGAGGGCCAGGCTGGTATATGATGTCTACAGCATACAAGGATCCGGTTGAAAGCGTGTTCCAAACAAAGCATGTGTAGGTTTGGCTGAATCGCTGTACTTGGCAAGCAGAAAGAACCCGGGGAAAGCGGGCGGCTTCTGAAAAGGAGGACGAGGTCGAATGCGGAAGTTGCCGCTAGAGCTAAGACGTGATGAGAACGGACATGATGAGTGCTCGTATGTTTCTGGAACTAGGACAAAGATCCCGCCAGCTCATTGTACTTCAAACAGCTGCAAATTGTTGGAGGCCAAGATGAAGGTACATCATTTTTATGCTTAGCTCTTAGAGTGTAACCGACAATCGCCAGAATAAGGATTGCTTTTCTGCTGGCAAGAAAGCGCATAGAACCACGGATGGTTGTGATTGATGCAAGTTGGGGATGGATTGATTTGGACCGGGGCTTAAATGCTAGCCGGAGGTCGATCAACATTCTGACAGAAGAGGAGTTGGAGCCTCAGCCGGCGCAGGTCACAATCTTATAGTGCTGAATGCATTTCTGGGACTGGCAGGGACCAGTGTACAAACCAATGTACCAGTCCACGTAAGCTCAAGAAAACGGGGTCCAAAAACAACTCGGATGACAGACAGACCTGGTGTGGACCAGGGAACAACCTGCTCTGAAAGTAATACTGCAAAACGATGGGGGGCGAGCAGGCGAACAAAAACCGCCGATATCCACTTGCACAATGGGGTCATTCCAGTTCTCATTCCCTGCGTATTGCACCAAAGTGTTGGTAGTCCACAGAGGTCACCTCTCGGGCGAAAGGGTGTCACCTCCGTCGGCCCTTCAGGGACCTACGGAGCTGAATGATCAAGCCTCAGGGAGCTGAATGATCAAACAGGTATAAACACGAACAGGTTCCATTCGTTGAAGCCGTTGAAACACGGTTCTGCAGGTGCTTGTCTGAGCATGGTGACCATTCATGGTGTTGCTGCAGTGTGAAGGGTTTGTTGTAGGGGAAATTCAGTGCCCACGCGTGTATAAACACTTTCCGAAACAGCACTGCCATGCACTGCCCAATTCAATAGCAGGGTGTTGCAAGTCCAATGAAGCCATGCCCAGTTTTCTAAACTTCCCTTTAAGCACCCGAGAGTTTAAACAAGGGTTAGAGCCAGGAATTGCTTGCCACCCTTGGGCGGCCTCTCGAGGGACCCGGTGTTTCAACATTGGGGTGTGAAAAAGCCGTGGGTTTAAACCCGGGATAGCCAGCAAGCCCAGCATTGCGCGGCCTTTTGTGGCAGCCCTTTTTGTTTTGGTGTTGCGGAGGGTTTAAGCCAGGGCCAGTAGGTGAACATGTGTTGAAACAGAGCCGTCTCAATACCAGCTTTTCATTGTGCCTCATTTGCAAAATAGCAAGTTACCGATTGCCAAGTTTGAATTGGGCGAAACATGGCTGCTTGAACCAGTGGCGCGAATGTTCGGAACCAATTCGGAGCTCTTTGGGAAACTTTGGGACTTCAGCATGGTTCTTCTACCATGGGTGTTTGAACCGCCGTTTCAAGGCCAACGAGTTTAAAAAAGTGTCTAAACAGCTTCCATCACCCCTTGCAAGAGGGTACCCGTTGCCAGGTTTTGAATCTGCTTTGGAGCCCAATCGAAGGAATTGCTTTCCACGGAGCTTGGACGTCGTAAACGTTTGGATTGTTTCACACGTTTTTTGTGTTTTTTTTTCTCCGGGCCCTCAACCTGGCGGTGTTGCCTGTGTGACCCTTGGCATCCATCGAAAAGGCCAGGCTAATGGCCTCTTGGCGCTTTCCCAAATTGGGGAGGCTTATGTGAGCGGCAAAGGAATCCAACTAACATGTCGGGACTCACTTTCAGGTCCGGGGAAATGCAAAGTTGATCACCTTGCCCAGGCTCGCGGATCTTTGTGGCTTCCGAAAGCACAAGAACAAAGGCGCCGCACTTGAAGGGATCCACGGTTTTGCTGGCGGTTCCCCTTTTTGACTTCAACCCGATCTCCAAAACGATACCGACTACAAAACGGCAGATCTAGGTTGCGAGTCTGCCAAGGACCTTGTTGTTGCTGTTTCATTGTGGATGCAGATTTGGCACATTGAGTCACATGCGGCGCGCTGTATTGTCAAGGTGGGGTCAAGATCCTGTACGTAAATTGCGGAGTCAATGTCAACTCACTTCCTGAGTTGGTGGAATTCAAACTTTTTGGAAAGACCATTTTAGTGGTAAATAGAAAGTTCAAACTTTTTTTGGCTAGTCAACTTGGGAAGTGAGTCAAAGCGTAGGCCAGCGGCTGAAAGAATTCTCACGCCAGATCGCAAGCAGCATCCCCTGAAGTGGCGTCTTAAGATCCGGGGCCCCAAAGCTCCAATGGGGCCAGTTGCACCGTCGCTGCAACGTTGCTTGCCTTGGTCCTACTGTGGATGGTTGCGAAATCCGTTTCGCACCAGCTAAGAAACCCAAGAATGAGTCGCTTCCCCAACGTAAATACCAACGAACAATGATTTTCCGCTGTTTCCAAGTGGTGCAGGATTTCGTCCATCCACAGTAGCACCTGGCCGCAAGAGGCTGCCACAAGTTCCTGTCCGGCTCTCTGGGTGAAACAAAGCCATGGGTATCAAAGCAATCCATGCCCGTTTCTCAGGAGGGCTTATTGGTTTTGAGCAGAAGGAATGCGGAGAGAGAGTCTCTTTTGGCTGGCCAGCTTGCTTCTTTGCTCCTGTAAGCGGCAACCAACATATTCAGGGATGAGTGAAATGCTGTTTGGTTCTCACTTCCAGGAGGCGAAACTGAGAGGATTCCCCGTGATTCATGGCCAAAAAGCTTTGCCACCTGGCGTATGTCAGGCGTTTCTATGGCAGTACGAGCCTCAGTGGGTTCGGTGCCACTTCCTGCGGGCTGGACAGGCATGGTGATCCTGGCAGCAAGGATCCTCAACTTCACTGTTCTTGGCACGTGTTTTAGTTTTTTGGTTTTTTGGTTCTGTTCATTTTTACTGGGGTCTGCAAAACAAAACAAAGTTTTTCGCCATGCCAAGAGTAGAGATGTTAAGAACTAGCCGTTGCAATGTGTCCTCGAAAGGGAACCCTTGGATAGCTCAAACGACCCACAGACCGCAGGTTTGTCCGTTCAGCTGACACAAAGCAAAACAAAGCAGCCGCTGGTGGCATAGCAAGTTGTCGGCAAGTTGTTTTAAGCCCACACCGTACAAAGGAAGCTGAACTTGTGCAGCGCTTCGCCTCTGTTGACGCGACAATGTAAGCATCAAAGCCGTGAAATCAGGCCTCCCAAACAGCAAGTGTTGTTGGTTCCCTTGCAATCCCATCCGGCCTCCCGGGCCCCTTTGGTACGCATGATGTCTAGAGAGTTTTCCGGCGAAGAAGGGGATGGCTCCAGACGTCGTGTTTCCACCTTGTGTGTCGGGTCTCAGCTCACTGCACCTGTGATCGAGGTGCGAAGTCTCATCAACACCTACCGTGAGCTTGGACCCTAGAGACCACACGATTGGAGCCCAGTCGTTTCGGCCGTCCCCGATACTTCCCCACAGTTTTCGTTCCCCTTTCTTTGTTTGTTTATTTTATTTTTTTGCCTTTTTGGGGTTCCCTTTTGTTTTCTAGCCAGGCAAAAAAAAAACGTATATTTCTTTGGGGTCCTAATTCCAGCCAAGATTGACTAAGAGGTTCCAAGGTCAATCAGCCTGCATTGAACCTGAAGACATGGCGTTTGTTTGATCGTGAAACACGTGACGTGTATGGTTTTCAGTCTGATGCTCTCCTGCAAATCAGCATGGAAACTCAATAGACATCCTTGTAGATGAACACGGTACATTCCTTTTGGGGAACCCGCTGTCGGATTCCTTGCTGTTGTTTTTGTGTTTTTTGCAGGGGAACGCAAGGTCACCCAGGAGCCATAAACAAGTGTGGCGTCCGGATGTGCATGGAACCTCCACTTCCCCCGTATCTATTGCATGTGCATGTAGTGCTTCAAGTTCCCACTATAGGTAACCATGAATCCTTCCAGGTTAACACAATGTTCTTTTTGGCCTTACCGGAGAGACGAACAGCTCAACCAACATGGTCTCCGGTTTTGTGGGATTCTTATATAACTCAAGTCCTGAGTTCGTGGACTTTATACGTTTTGGGAATACCATTTTAGTGGTAAATGAAAAGTTCGGACTTTTTCTTGTGCCAATCCACTCAGGAAGTGAGTATAGATTCTGATTCTTTGTCCCAAGCTAGACGGCAGGAACAGTTTGAACTGCGAAGGCCAAGAGCCAGAGTGTGCTTTTGTCTTGGTTCTGGGACCGTGCCCGAGTTCCGAAACACTTCGAAACAAGGACCTCATGCCAGCTGTCGAGTGCCAAAACGGGCATCAGGTCCCTGTAACGTGCGTGTTGTGGTTTAGGTTTAAGTAGAAACAACATGGGAGGGTTCTTGTGAATGTGCCACAGTGAGTTGTCGTGTAGGTACATATTATATATATAATATTATGTATAAACGGTTGCTTTCTGACTTATTGTCTCAAGGGAATATGACACGAAAAGGGGAGCTGTCATCTACTTTCACCCAGCTGTAGAGGTTTTGGGGTAGTGGAAACTCTTATCCCGATGCGAGCTAAATGGCTACGTCTGAATTGGGAGGGCAATCCATGGATTCCTGAAAAAGCATGGCCAAACCTGGCTACATTTATTTGCTCAACCCCTTCTCCCATGAACGAAACGTATAAAGAAACAAACAGCGTGTTCATGCTGTTTTCATGTTTCGCAATTTGTTGGGGGCAGAGCAGAGGCAGTGACCATGGGGCTAAGGGCTTGACTGCTCTTGGGTTAGATCTTTAGACTTTCACTTTTTGGAAAATCAATCGATGATCAGCTTCCTTCAATATTTAAATGACACATAATGACACTGAACAAAGAAAGAGAACGCCCCCTAACTGGAAGGAATGTTGTTTTTATTTTTTGTTTGTCAAATTATGATATTTCCTAGAAGGTGGTCAAGGGGTTTTCTTTTCGAAACCCACAAAAAGTGTTCAACTTTTTGCAGAGGGGTCAACGGCAACCAAGTATAGTAGCCAGCCATGTTCCGTTATTACAGGGTGGTTCTCTTTACACGGAATTTCATGGGGGCTGGGGGGGAGGGAGTAGGGGAGGGAGCCCAAATAAGCCCTAACTAAGGCCTGATTAAGCCCTTAGGGCTTATTTGGGCTCCCTCCCCTTTTTCCCCAGCCAGGAATTCCTTTCTCCTCCCTCCCTCCCAGCTAGGAATTCTGGGTGCCCTCCCTCAAGTTTCACGAATTCCTCGGGTGCGTCGGTCTGGCGTCACCAGGCTGCACCCGCAGCTGCTGCACCGGTCCCTGCGGGGCCGCGAGGCCACCATGGCAGTGAGCCCGGGGGTCCCAGAGTTTCATCGGGTGGGAGGGGGGGTGAGGGGGGGGTGGGGTGGGGGTGGGGGTGGGGTGAAAGGGCTGGGTGGGGTGGGAGTTGATTTGTTGTTGTTTTTTTTGGGGGGGGTTAGTAAGGAAAAACTGGGCCGAAATAGGATGGGCAACTCATTCTCAGATGGAGACTTCCTTTTCTTGGCTTGAGTCCCCCGAAAATCCCCATTCCAAAAGTTTGTTTGTTTGGGCCATGTGTCCGGCTTGATCCTTTCCTTGTTGGTTGTTGTAGTAGCCCGATTTGTTGCCCTGTCCTTTGGATCCTTGTCCTTTGCCATATCCTTGTTCTCCTGTCAACAGGTGCCTTGTCCAATGTCCTGTTCCTCCTTTGTGGTTGCAATTGTAGTTCCCGTAGCCGCAATAGCCTTTGCCCTTGTTGTGCTTTACTTCACCTTTGTGCGCCTTTCTTGCCCTTGCCTTGGTTATACCATGCAGTCAGTTCCTTTGTCTATCGGTGCTGGTTCTTCATTGTTGTTGCTGCCGCTTGATGTAAATGTTTGTACCTTGGCGAATGACGATGTTGCTCAATGATCTGTGCACATGTTGCAACGTTTGCGACTTGCAGTTGCACATGTTGCTGTAGTGCTCGTTAACTTTCATTGAGCGATAATGCAGTTCAACAGCGTTTGGTAGTAATGTGCTGTTATCTTGTTCATACTTGGCGAGTTGAAACTTCCGTGTTGTAATGCGCTTGTTTCATCGAGCTCTGGTTTGAGTAACGTTTTAAGGTACCCAATGTTTCTTGTACCAAGTGGTATTGGGTATCTGAGGTGTAGTGTCCGCCACGTTTCAAATCCCGTGCGTTGAATGTTGGTCCGTCGCGTGTGCTCACCAAGATGCAGAGTAAGTTTCTGCTCAGTTGTATCCATTGCTTTGCCATTGCTTGTTCCAGATGGTATTGCTCTGGCTGTCTCAACAGTCTGTCGCATGCTGGACCTTGTAGTTCAAGGTATGCAGTCATCTTATGCTTCAATTCTTCAATTGTGGTGTACTCTCCTGGCAACCGTGGTGGTGCAGTCCTGTGCTTGTGCGCTCCTTCCAGCTGTTGCTGCCGTTCCAGCTGTTCCTGCTATTGCTGTCGAGCCGCGATAACTTCCTTTTGTATGGGAAGTCCGCCAGATCTTTGCCAGGTGCGTGTTGTTCACTGCTCTGTGTTATACAAAACCTGTATGCCTCAAGTGAATGACGTGAGTGTAACTTGGTGGCTCCCAGCCATCCCCTTGGCATTTTAGTGCTTCTTTCTGGAGTTGAGTGGTTTCGACTAGCTCAACTCCAAAAAGGTGATGGTGAGTGGTGCCTCCCTTTTTGTGGAGTGGAGTGGCAGCTTCTTTTTTTTTGCGAGTCCCCGTTCGCCGGGTCAAAAGGGAGACGCGCCGCGGCTCGGCTCCGCTTCCGAGGCCGCGGGGAAGCTCACGTGCCGCAGTTCGGCGAGCTGCAGGCGTCGGGCCGGCGGGCGGTGACTGAGCCACGTGCTCGACACCGATTCGGTACTCGGGTGAGGGACAGTCCCCCAGGTAGATGGTTCGGGTAAGGGACAATCAATCAATCCTTGCCATATTATAAATAGCAGCGGAATGAATTCCGGCTTAATTCTTGAAGCATGGTTCTGGGAGTACGACCATTTTACCGGGCTTTGATAGCGACTCACCTCTCGGTTTGTGGCTGGCTGTGGATTCCTCTGGTTTTGGGTGTCCGCAATTGGCCTTTTTGTGGAGTGCGGGTCCTGGGGATTCTGTTCATCCAGCTGTGTTCCAAGCCCTTAAGCCTTTTGTCAGAGCCAAAAGCAGTTACGGCCATTTAAGACGATCTCTTTAGTTAAGGGGCGATATGGCCCTCCAAAATGAGTGATGTGTTCCAATTTGGTTTCCCTTTAAGACCACAAAAATGGGGGCACCCTCAAACAGAGACGAGTAGCCACCCATTTGGGATCCCATCAATTTGATCTATAGTCAGCGTTTCTTTTGGGATGAGTCAAACGCTTCCTTAAATGCCTTGCCTTAGCGGGTGCCAATACTCAAACTGTTCCTCGATTTGGGCCATTATTGCAATGCCACGTTTTGTTTTCACGCTTTTTTGGGGCGGTACCCCTTTTTGGTCGGTTTTAAAAGGAAAAACCAGAGGAACAGCAGAGGATTCGTTTGGGAGCGTCCGTTTTTTCTGGTGGAAGTACGGACTTAGGCCCCACCGCTGCCGCTTGCGGTGGGGTTGATGAGATCAGGCCTCCGAGCAAATCGACGGCTTGGACCTATTGGCAGCCAAGGGAAAGCAGGCAGAGGATTTGCCTGAGTCGGGGCTGGTTCTTGGGGTTCCTGGGGATCCATTTGGAGCCAAGAAACCGATAAAAAATTACCCATCACCACTCATGACTCTAACATGGCACCCTGTTGCACCAGTCAAAAGTTAGAACTTGAAGGATTGTATTTTGCTTGAGGATTCTTCCATGAGAGCCTTCCGAGCCTGGTGGCCCTCCTTGCTGAACAATGGACACGCACGCTTCAGTGCCCCACGGTGGCGTTTCAGCCCTTGAAAGTCGCCTAGCAAACTGAAGGTCGCCCTTGAAAGTCGCCCTTTTCAGCCCTTGAAAGTCGCCCTTGAAAGTTTGTTCTTTGACACTTGCCAGGATTTCCTTGAACGTAACGTCGCTTCTGCCGCAGATAACGAAGGTGTGGAAAAGGTATGAGGGGCTAAAAAGGGGCTGGCCCTCCCGCGCGCTTGGTTTAACTGATGGTTCTTGTGTATTGGTGTGTTGTGTGTTGTTGTATTGTTGACTTGTGCGTTGGCTTGTTTGTGTATTTGTGTGTGTGATTGTTATGTTGCTTGTTTGTTTGATTTGTTTGTTTGCTTGTTCTTTGCTGCTGCGCTGTGTTGTGTCGTGTTCTAAAAGAGTTTTGCTTGCTGGTTTGTTTTGTGTATGTGTTGCTTGGTTGGTTGCCTGGTTTGTTGGTTTTTGTATAGGTTGCTTATTTGTTTGTATGTTAGTTTATTTGTGTTTTTTGATTGTGCTTGCTTTGTCTGTTTGTCAGTTTGTCAGTCTGTCTGTCTGTCCGTCTGTCTGTTTGTCTGTCTGTCTGTCTGTCCGTCCGTCCGTCGTTCCGTCTGTTTGTCTGTCTGTCGTGCTGTCTGTTTGTCTGTCTGTCTGTCTGCCTGCCTGCCTGTCTGTTTGTCTGTCTGTCTGTGTTTCTGTATGTCTGCTTGCTTGCCTCTTTTGTTTGCTTGTTTGGTTGTTTGTGTGTTGGTTTGTTTGTATGTATGGTTTGGTTGTTTGCTTGTTTGCTTGTTTGTTTGTTTGTTTGTTTGTTTGTTTGTGTGTTTGTTTGTTTGTTTGTTTGTTTGTTTGTTTGTTTATGTTTTTGTGTGGTTGTTTGTTTGTTTGTGTGTGTTTGTTTGTTTGTTTGTTTGTTTGTTTGTTTGTTTGTTTGTTTGGCTTGTTTGTTTGTTTGTTTGTGTGCTTGTTTGTTTGTTTGTTTGTTTGTTGTTTGTTTGTTTGTTTGTTTGTTTGTTTGTTTTGTTTGTTTTGTTTGTTTGTTTGTTTGTGTGTTTGTTTGTTTGTTTGTTTGTTTGTTTGTTTGTTTGTTTGTTTGTTTGTTTGTTTGTTTGTTTGTTTGTGTGTGTGTGTTTGTTTGTTTGTTTGTGTGTTTGTTTATTTGTTTGTTTGCTTGCTTGTGTGTTTGTTTGTTTGTTTGTGCTTGTTTCATAGCGTGTTTGCTTGTGTGTTTGATTGTGTGTTTGATTGTGTGTTTGTTTGTTTGTTTGGTTATGTGTTGTGTGTTTGTTTGTTTGTTTGGCTTGTTTGTTTGTTTGTTTGTTTGTGTGTTTGTTTGTTTGTTTGTTTGTTTGTTTGGTTGTTGTTTGTTTGTTTGTTTGTTTGTTTGTTTGTTTGTTTGTTTGTTTGTTTATCTGTTTGTTTGTTTGTTTGTTTGTTTGTGTGTGTGTTTGTTTGTGTGTGTGTGTTTGTTTGTTTGTTTGTGTGTGTGTTTGTTTGTGTGTGTGTGTTTGTTTGTTTGTTTGTTTGTTTGTTTATGTGTTTGTGTGTTTGTTTGTTTGTTTGTTTGTTTGTTTGTTTGGCTTGTTTGTTTGTTTGTTTGTTTGTTTGTGTGCTTGTTTGTTTGTTTGTTTGTTGTTTGTTTGTTTGTTTGTTTGTTTTGTATATTTGTTTGTTTGGTTGTTTGTTTGTTTGTTTGTTTGTTTGTTTGTTTGTTTGTTTGTTTGTTTGTGTGTGTGTTTGTTTGTTTGTGTGTTTGTTTCTTTCTTTGTTTGTTTGTTTATGTTTTTGTGTGTTTGTTTGTTTGTTTGGCTTGTTTGTTTGTTTGTTTGTTTGTTGGTTGTTTGTTTGTTTGTTTGTTTGTGTGTGTGTGTGTGTTTGTTTGTGTGTTTGTTTGTTTGTTTGTTTGCTTGCATGTTTGCTTTTTTGTTTCTTTGCTTGTTTGTATGTTTGTTTGTTTGTTTGTTTGTGTGTTTGTTTGTTTGTTTGTTTGTCTGTGTGGTTGTGTTCGCATGTTTGCTTACGTGCTAGTTGGTTTGTTTGTTTGTTTGCTTGCTTGCTTGCTTGCTTGTTTATTTGCGTGTTGGTTTGTGCCTTGATTTCCTTGTTTGTTCGCTTGTTTCTGAATTAGTTTTTTTTCTTTTCACTGATTCCTTTCTCTGTTTTCTTCTTCTTCTGATTTGTTGCTTTGTTTATTTGTTTATTTGTGTGTTGTGTTCGTTTTGTGTTTGGTGTTAATGCTTTGTATTGGTTTGTGCTGTGTTGTCTTGCTGTGTTTGCCTGTGTAACATATAGCCAACACTGCAGAGTGTTAAGTGACGTCCTCTCAAGGCGATGCGCGGTAGTGCCAGGGTTTCCAGGGGCAACACCTATCCTTGTGACAGCATTCTGCATTCGCGCTCAGGCGGAAGATGCCAAAGATGGGTTCCGGCCTCAATCCGACAGAAGCATGGGAAGTTTCTGACCCATCCAAGTTGGTTGGGGGCATGGCCAAAGCCAGTGGTTTCAGTTGCCAAAGAAGCCCCATACTTCCCCGGCAGTGTTCGCATCCCAACTGAGGAAGGAGATCATGAGCGAGAAGGCGCGAGACTCAGCAGGATAATTTTGGCTTGGAAGGCAAGGTCTATGTCCAGTGTGGCCAACTCAAGCCTTTGCTAATTTATCCTCGTGGGTATGTGTACTAGGACTATAGTGGCCCCAAACACGTTCGCACTCAGACCCGTGTTCCATGCATGCACAAAATCTATTTCGCACCACCAACGAACCGCCAATGACGATGTCCCCGTAAACATTCGAACCAAAGTTGTTCCAACCATGGCCATTCCACAGTTCTAGGGGTTGATTCCGATCAGGTTCTTTGAAAAACCATCGTTCTTCTCAAGAACTTCAATAACCGGATCCGTTTCCCCTGGGGGGTTTGATGGTTTCCTGAAAAGATTCGGATCCCTTCCATTTCCATGTCCATTCTTTTCATTTGTATTTCCATTTTTTGCAGGGATCCTTCTTTTCAGGATCCCTGGGTTCAGAATGGAAATGGAAGGTACCCCTAGAACAATGTCTCCCGCGCAGCCGATCCTTCGCCTTGCTCGACCCCACCCCGCGAGGTGCTGAGCCCCGAAGACTTCAAACAGCTCCGCAAGCTTCGGCTGCAGAAGTCCATTGAGCCGAAGCCTCGGAAGGTGGTAGAAGTAGATGGGCTTGTGTGCTTCTTTGAGAGTGCCCCCGTTATTTGTTTTATATAATATGAGGATTGACCAAAACCCCCTATGTTTCTTTTGGTAAGGACTGAAAAGCGTTTTTGCTTGTTTGATGGTGCCCCGTTATTTGTTATATATTTACACGCTGACGCGACACAGCCGGCCACCGGGCACCTTGCCCTTCCCATTCTTGTATTTTCTTTTCCTTGAATTCCCGTTAGCTTCCGGGATGTGAACTTTGCTTCCTTTGCATGTCTTCCCTTCCTGGCATTTCCCTTCACTTCCTTTCGCTTCATTTCCGCTTCAGCTCCCTTCATGTCCTTGAACGCCCCTTCATTCGCATTCCTTTCCCTTAGTTCATTGTAGTTCCCGCGACTTCAACCTCGCTTCCCATTTCACGTCACTTTCCTGCACATCCCTTCATTCCTCTTCAATTTCTCTTCGTTTCCCGAAGCAGGTTTCTGACGCAGACAGAGTTTGAGATGAGTTGGGCGAGCGGGTGCGAGCTGTACGTATGCGTGGGGATGTCTTGCTCTGTTTCGCTGGTATTGCTCATTCGTTCAGCTTTAAGGATTTTGCACTATGTTCTAACCGCATATGCGGACCAATTGGGCGTTGCGCAATGCGGTGTTGCCAGCACAATCCAGTGCCTGGCAATCGGCTGCTGGTGCGCGCTCAAAGCCGACCTTTGAACCTTTTGGTTTTGCCGAGGTTCTCTTTAGTTTGCAAAGGTGAGCACCTCCAACTTATTTGCAGGTGCTTTGCTCGGGCAAGTGAGCATGGTCCTTTTGAGAAGGCTATGAAAGGGTGTGTTTTTTTGGGGGAGGAGGCTCATCATGTGCATCAGCAGCGTAAGTTGACGCATCAGCAGCATCATGTGCATCCGTGGAACTCAGCAACAAAGGCCCGACTGCCCCTGCCGGCCTGTCGCAGAAAGAACGCGCCGAACAAGTGCAAGCACGGCTTTCCGAAAGTGCCGAACCCTCGCTGCAGGGTCATCTGCCGAGGCAACGCCCGCAAGTTCGGGCTCAGCACGCGCGGCCGCCGCAACGCCTTGGGCACCGTGCTTGGCCGCCGCCAAGACCCGTGGCTTTCTGGCACTTGCCGCGCCTTTGCCTTGATGCTCATGGGGAACAGCCACAGCGGCCTGAACTTTCGAGTGCCTCTCACAGCTACCACCCACGACCCGGACTGTGCCCGCAACTGCCTCGACGCCTCCACCTTGCGGCGGCTGCAGCGCACCATGGCGCAAGCAGCTCGCCGGTCCACCAAGTACTTCACAGGGTACCTGCAGAAGCCGCAGCCTTTGAACGGCAAAGAGCTGCAGCAGGCGGCGAAGCAGCTGAGCTTCCTGGACACAAAGCCGTGCCATGGCGAGGAGCTGCAGCGTTACAGGCAAGTAGTGCACCGCGTGCTCGGGGACTTGGAATTCCGATGCTCTGTCCGGCCGCTGACGGAGGAGTTTATGCTCGCGGGCTTTTGGGACTCGAGTTGGCAGAATGCATCCGCAGCTTCCCAGTGGTTCCGTTCGTTGGCACAGAGTGGCTGACGCAGCTGGACACAGCTACGCAGCAGCGGAAGAAGATCCGGCGGCAGGACCACGGCGGTACTTTAAGCACTCCGAACTGTACGGGTGGCGGGGAACTGATCCTCGCGTGTATCACTTGTCTCCATGGGAATTCATGAAATGGTGGGAGCTCAAGCGGCTGCAGCCCCCCACCACCAGTGAAGAAGGCGCCGAGCGCGGCCTCAGCGAGTGGGTGCCGGGCCATGCGCAGAGCGTCGCTCAGCCCGAAGCAGCCATGTCCGCAAAATCTTGGAAATTCGGCGAACACTATCGCTGGCGAGATCCCTTGCCAGCACATCTGGCAGATAACATTTTGCGACTGCCCAGCAAAATTGCAAGCCAGGCGGCAGCAGCGCACTATTTGCAGCGCAGACGGGAGCCGGTTGTGCCCTTCCCGTGCATGTGCCCTCTGCCGAAAAGCGACATGTCGCCGGATGCGCAGGCCCGGCTCTTCAACGTGTATCTGCGCCCGTGGACATTGGATGTAAAAGATGCTAGCCTGCATGTGCCGCGCATCGACTCGCTGGATTTGCCTATTTCTGCCTTGCAAGCAACCATCGCGCCTGCACGCCGGCTGCGCACAAAGACGGCTCCTGCGGAGAGGAGCCACGCAGCTGCGTGGAAGGACTATGTGGAGTCCCATGTCGTGTCAGAGCATGCGGCCAGAACCATCCGCAACTTCGTTGCAGCCGCGGAGTGCGGTGCAGACGAGGAGGACGTGGAAGCCGTCAAAACCGAGCGCCATTGCGCCGAAGTGGACACCACCTGGGTGGACGTCAACACTGTTCACCGTGTCTGCGAAGGCGGCAGCTTCCAGTACTCTGCACGCACCGCGCCGGCCGTGCACAACATTATCGAGCAATGGCGCACCGGTCCCGCGCAAGACGCTTCTGCGGACCTTGCCCGGTGTGCAGGCGTACCAGATCCCGGCAGGCCTGCCGCCGCCGCTACCGCTCAGCCTCCACCGCCTGCAGATGCGTTGCCGCAGCCCGGCGTGGCTTGCGTGTACGCAAGGCTGACGCCTCAGGCGGCCAGCGCGTGGCTGCAGGAGCTGCAGCGCAGCACGCCGGGCCCGAGTGCGGAGCAGCTGGCCTTCCTGCAGCACGTCGTGCGCCGGTGCTTGGCGGAAGCGGCCGAAGAAGCCACCGCCAAGCCTTTCCGGTCTGAGCCGTCCCGTGCCCTGCTGCACGGTGTGCCAGGAGCGGGAAAGAGCCAAACTTTGAAATGGCTCGGGCACTTTTTCGAGACGGTCTGCCAGTGGCGGCATGAGCACGAATTCATATTTGTTGCGCCACAAAACACGCAGGCGGCGTTGATCGACGGCAACACCGTGCATGCCTTCGCCGATCTTCGCCCAAAGTCTCGAAAGGCGGCGCGCGACACTCCAGCCGGCCCTGACACTTACGTCAAGTACCAGCGTCTCCGTTGGCTGGTACTTGACGAGTGCAGCACCGTGCCCCTGGAGGTCCTCGCAGTGCTTCAGAAGCGGCTGACAGACACCACCCGCAAGAAGTACAGCTGGAGGTGCCGCAGTTCGCAGCAGGACCGTCCCTTCGGGGGCGCTAACCTGCTAATCGCCGGCGACTTCTGGCAGTTCCCAGTGGTGCGCGCCACGTCCTTGTTCCACAGTCCTTTTGCCAAGGGCACAAAGCATCCAGGTGGCCAACCTGCACAGGATGCTGTGGACGCACGATCAGGACAACATGCAGCACCTCTTCAAGCTCACGCAAGAGCACCGCTGTGTGGACCCGTGGCTGAGCCACGTGCTGCAGCAAGCTCGGTATGGCGCCACGACACAAGAAGCATGGGCCTACCTCCACGGCTACGCCACGCTGCACGCCGGGTCTTGGTGCCCTGCCACGAACTTGTGCGCACGCGGGCAGGAACGCTGCAACAACTTGGCGGAGGAGTGGCAACATGCCATCGCGGCCGGCACGGCTCGAAGCTGGGCCGAGCGTGCCAACGAGGAGTGCGCGGTCTGTGCCACCGAGCGCGCGCGACGCTGCGTTGTCGCAGAGTCTTCCCCTAGCGCACCGGACCCTCGCCAGGCCAAGTTTCTGGAAGGCCCGTTCGTGCACGGCTACAACGCAGCCAAGTATGTGGCCGCTCTTTTGCGCGCCCGGTACGTTGCAGCCAAGCAAAAGCATATGCTTCTCTGGGTTGTGGCCCAGGACATGCCTTTGTTCCAAGTGGATCCAGAAGAGGAAGCCGGGAACTTGGAGGCGCGAAAGGAGAACTGGCTGCAACGGCACGACCAAGCCACGGGCGGTGTCATGGGACTGCTGCCGCTGCTGCCAAACATGCCCGTGCGCATTACGCAGACCCTTGCGGAGCTCAAGCCTTTGCGTCTCTTCAAGAACAGCCGCGGGAAGCTGTTGAACTGGTGCTTGCAGGATGCAGACGCCGAAGCCGTGCGCGCTTCCACGGCCGCGGACTTCGTGCTCCAGGGCATGCCAAGGTGTTTGTTCATCCAAGTGGAAGGAGCTACTTGGACGCAGCAGCCGGGCCTGCCAGCAGGCGTTGCATGCATCCGGCCTGTGCAGCAACAATGGCAGCTGGCAGCGGACAGCAAAGCGTCCGTGCTGCGCAGAGGCTTCCCCGTTGCATGCGACTATGCCGGCACAGCACATTCCTTCATGGGCGCCACGCTGTCTGCATGCACCTTGGATCTTGGCTTCTGGGACAGCACCCCTTCCCTTGATGCCCAGCTGAGCGCTTACATGTGCTTGTCCCGGGTGAGGCACGGGGAGGACCTGTGCGTGAGCCGGCCTTTCTCGCCCAACCTCTTGAGCCAGGGCGACCTGATAGGCCCACGGACGCTGCTCGAAGTACACCGGCAGACGCTCACCTTGGAAGAAGCCAAAGCCCGCTTCGAGCAGGAAGCAAAGCAGCGCAAGCGGCATCCGGAAGTGCAGCTGACTTGCTGCCTCTGCAGCTTTCTGCAGCCAGGGCAGGAAAAGCTAAAGCCTCTACATGCCTTCCTTGACGACCAGGAGGCCAGCCGCTTCAGTGTCGTGGCGCAGGGCATGGACAGAGTGTGCCGAGCTTGTCGCAGCTCACGCTCCGCAAGCCAGCCTCAGCCAGCAGATGGCGAGAGCACACCGTGCGCTTGGTGCCAGAAAACTTTGCTGGCGGAGCCTGGATTTTGCAAATCGTGCCAGCAAAAGCCACTCGCATGCGCCAAATGCGACGCCGCCAAGAAAGGCACGAAACGCACGCTGGCAGATTTCAGTGTGGAGGAAATCTTACGGAGGAAACGCACGAAGGAACTGCGCCGCGCTCGCTGCAAGAAATGCGTGGCAGCCGCGCCAGCAAGAGCCACAAAGGCCAGCAAGTGCACGCAGTGTGGCCAGTGGAAATGTCGCACTAACTTCTTTGCCTTTGTGGAGAAAACGAATG